ACACAAGATCCATGAGTAATTGTCCCTAGGTAAATCTCGTAGATCTCCGTTCCCTGGACGGTTTAACGTCATTTCCTACGCAGAATGTTTATCGACAAGATTTTATGACTGCCACAAACCGTCAAGTCCCAGAGCACCAAGCATGACTTGGATACATCCACACTGTAATATGGACAATTGGACCAATTATACTATTGAAAACAATTGATTACATGCAGGTTCGACACAGAGAGCCTTTTATTAGGTATCACACGCACAACCCCTGAATTATGATGTATAACATGTGCAATCAAATCTTGGTATGGTCTCTAGAGTTATAATCAATAATCTTTTATTCTGACAACGCCACTACCATACTGCTGACACACAATTCTATCAAATTATTGTAGAACCAATAATGTTGGCTACTAAAGATAGACCATGTTTGTATATATATTGTATTTTTAGAAAACAAAACTATTATAATCTACTTACCACCAACATTGGATGCATAACAACAATGTAGTCCTTACAAAATTTTGCAAATACAACTACAGTAATTAACGCTATTAATAATATAATTTAATTCAAATAGTAAACATTTTGTTAGCAATTGAAAATGTAATGTTGGTTAAGCAAATTAATTTTAACAATTTAAAACCATTTAAAGATATAATCAAATTCAAAATTTTCATTTTTATATTCTATTTTTAGTTTTTAAAGTCATTATCATTTTTGAATAGTTAACTATATTTAAGCAATTTAAAGTAATTTATTATGTCTAAATTGGGAAACTGATATAGAAAATATCCTTTCTTGGTACTTAGAAAAGCATACATCATTATATTCTTTGCATATGTACCCTCAAATTGGCTAGTAGTCAATTTCAAATTAAATAGTTACTGCTATGAAATTTATAATTTTTCATAATCGGTCATGTCCTATGGAATTTGTACACATTAATTATAGAAAATTTATTATGTCTTTTTATCAGTTATGTCCTATATAATCATTGTGCTCCCATTTACGTAGGAAATCACATTGTTGCTTCATGGAACAATGAAGGGTCCCAAATGATCAGCTTCTGGTGGGTGGTTCACCCTCATAAAGCCCCGTCTAGACTATCAAACTGTATTTGACAAAAAATGTTACATGTCTAAATATGGTCACGATGACATCACATCATGACCGTATATAGGCACATCATGACTATATATGTCATACAAAAGTTTTTATCAAAGGAAATTTGAATATGGAGACAGAGCTTATATGGTTCAAATAAATAAATAAATACTAATATATAGAGGGGATTCTACCAACCAATGTCAAAACAATGCAAAGTTTTCCACCCAACACATTGCAGTCATTCACATGACCTACATTTAGTACCTGTGGAATGACCTTCCAGTTTAAGTTTTGTAAGAAACACAAACATAAGTAATTATTTCTAAATATCATCTTTTTTAAATCTAAATGTGATATGATTATTTTAACCATTTCATTTCACTTTATATATAACTTTTTGTTTTGAAATATTTACAGAAAACTGGAGCTCATGGGAGACCAGCACTTAAACTGACAGAGCTTTTTTTTAAAACATTTTATGATATACTTCTATTTATACCTTGGTTGGTGTCATTTATTTCTGTAACTAGAAATTAATTATTAAAAACAAGATTTCTTATTATTATTTAATTATTTTCCAGAATAGAGAAAAAGGTGTAGTAGTAGTACTTTATTAGGCTTTGAACATAAATAAGCTGTTGAAATTTATTCATGTCATATTTCAAAAATTGACAATAACAAATTTGCATCCAAAACGATCATTTGAAATAAAGGGTATAGAATTAAATTAAGCAGAAACCTTTTGCAGACACAGACTCTCTAGTGTTTCGCAAGATGAACCAACATAACCCGTAAACGTTAACATAAGAAGAGAAAGTAGGTCGCATCAAAAGGTTCCAGGAAAAAAATAATTGCACAGTATACCAGATAAAAATTCAACTACATGGCAAGTGATGTTAAGTAAGAACAATAGTTATACACCCAGACCATAGCTTTAACACATCTCCATGATACAGTCTACCATGGGGGAATTTCAGAAGACAAAGGAAATAGGCAACTAAGTTAGTGAATTGCTAAAGGCAGAGGGATTTAGGTGCTAACATACGGCTTCCTGGCTAATACAACGTCAGAAACTTCAGGAAACTGAAAACTACTGCAACATACTATTGTGACCTTATTGTAACAACCTTGATTGTGTACAAAATATATATGGACTAGAGAGGGCAGTAGATATATGGATATAATGCACCGCACACATGGTCCATTATGATATACTCCCAGGCTTATAGCCAATTTAATAATTGTAGTGAACATGAATCATCATTTCAACGACTTGCTCATTTGATTCAAAATCTGATAACTTCAATTAAAGATTTCCTGGAAAGGATTGGAATACATCTTTCCAAGAACAATTTCCCAATAAGATAATGACTAAGGAATGGTGTCTTAATTAATTAGTTTTTAAGTATAAACAAAAGGCAAACATACTGTATGTTCCATACTCATTTTTCAAATTAATTATTTATGCACATGGACCAAGGGTTGCCAAAAGTGAACTGTCCTACTACTCATAGGTGGCAATTAGTTTTACAAGATGAACATACGTACATGATGCTGATTATGAGGTTTATAGAGGGTGGAATTGTTTTTGGGTCGTAAGAAAAAATCCTGCAACACTGACAGAAATTTGGCCCATGACCCTGGGATTGGAAGGCGAGCATCGACTTAACCACCATGCTATAGCTCTACTCCATCATCTAGAAACATAGATGCTAACATTGGGTTCATCAATTTTTTCCACATAGGGAGAGAGTGATTTTCAAATGTCATTCCAAATTGAACTGTATATGCCAATTAATTGAACTGAAAGAGTATGAATTGCCAAAAAAGGAAATCTGAGATATATTCATATTTGGCATTAAAAAGGTGTCAAGTGATTGACGTATCCTAGATGTAAAAAAATCTGAAATTTAATTGGCCCCCTACTTCCCTAAAAAATCCTGCATTTCCCCAGCTAGTTATATTATCTATAAATGCTGAGTTTAACCACAAAATAAAGTGTAAATTAGATGCCTACAACAGACAGCATCTAATGAACATCGCAATAAAACATCCCTCAAGATCTCAACGTCAAGTGTTGGACTTCCGACTCGTCGAGTCATAGTAGCACAACCAGCTTCTTTACAAGTCTCAAGACTGTTTTGTGGCAACAAATAAAATGAAATTTGTACAAAAGATGAAAGATAAACCACGATTCCTTAGAGTCTTCTTGGAACCTAGATTCTTTGGCAGTACCACCACTAGATGCCTGCAAAACTAGTACTTTAATAAGAACAGCATTCTACATAATTTCCACCATAATAACTAATTTCGTAAAACATGACGCCGTAGATAATATTGGGAATAAGGTACTCTGTCTGGTAGAGCATTGTGCCAGAACTGAGAAGGCAACAGACTTCAGGAGAGTGAAAACAGAGAATCTAGCATAAGAAATGTTGCATGAACCCAATTTAGATGCTTCAACATTCTGAAACGAGTAACTAGATAATAATTGCAAGCTGTAAAATGTGAATGAATCTATTAAATATTAATTTGTTAAAAAAAAATAAAATCTTGAAATGAATTTTATAACAGATTATAATATGTTTAACAACGTCTCCTTTTAAAGTTTCTACTTAAGATAAACTGTACAGTTTCTGAAAGAAAACAGTATATACAATAAGAGGCTCTACGATAAACTGTACAGTTTCTGAAGTGAAAACAGTATATACAATAAGAGGCTCTACACCTCTGCTGATATAAAATTCCCAACTTTCAGGTTTTTCATGATCCTTTGATCTCTGTAAGTAAAATTATTACAAACACTAGGCAGGAAATATAAATAAAAAGAAGTTGTAATTTTGAGAACGTGCTTGCTCTAACTGAAAGGGCATACATCTTGTTGGATGTGGTGCTTCTGTCTGATTATCATATAATACTTATTTATCTATATATACTGTACAGTATCCGTAGAACAGGCTTGTTTCAATGGATGGGGCTTTTTAAAATAATTTAAATAATTATGTTAGTGACACAAAATAAAAATTAAAAGTTTAATTAAAATGAATTTGATTGGACCTTATAAGTTGTACAATTATTAAATTTAGTAAAGTATTAAAGTATTGTGCAGAAATAATGTTAAATCTGGACCTTTGAAAAAGTAAACACTGATCAGTATGCCATTATGCATGAATAATAGAAGCCAGAATACGTGACATTAATCATGACACTTAACAAACTAAGCCACATAGAAATATGATGCATTTTTTTGGTTTTAACATCAAATTGCTCATAGCAGGATAAATCCACACTTCAATAGCTTTAATAAGTGTAGAACGTATGACTAATCAAATGTGGTTTTACACGTGAACTCAATTGACATCTGAAAAACATCACAGTAGGTATACGTCCTACGGCCCAGATTGTGGAGATACTTCTTAAATAGATTTCTAATCTTAAGCCAAATTTTAATCAGAAATATTGCAATCTAATTCTAAAATTTAGAGGTTTATATAGCGCTGTCATAAACGGTTTTTTTTTCTCTTTTTAATTGTGTTCATAAAAATTGTAGCAATTTACAATTGAAGTTGTAAAACTCTACACACTGAAATTACGTATTTGTATCATAGTCATTAAGTCAATATGTTGCTTTCAATTATTACATGATGGAATAAAGCACTAGAGACTAAACAATGTTTTTAGTTGTCTCTTCCAGGATTTGAACCCAGGAACTGTCATTTGGAAGTCAAGTATATTAACCACCAAGCTCTCCACTTTACAAAGTTTTAAATTAACTGTACTTACCAAACTGCAAAAATATGCTGAAAATGAAAAACAGCAGCAAATATAAAAAAAATGGAGGAAAGATAAAGAATTGTGGCAAGGAGCTATGCTCCTTTGGGGGAGGGGAAAATTACCTGACCATATCTGGCAGCAATGTGCAACATCGTCCATCTGTTATCTTGCACTTCTAATTCTGCCACTGCACTTGTTTCACTCACTAACCATTCCATACAAATCTGTTGACCATGCTGCGAAAATTATCATATATTCAATTAATCTACTGAAAATAGCATGGGCATGGCGGGAAATTAGCTCCAAGTGGGTTAAAATACTAAAATGACCATTAAGTTCACATTGGAATAGAAATTCAGTTCCACATTCGCACAATATATATTCCCGGCCTTTTTATTATAATATTTTTATGACTGTAATGTTTGATAATTCAAGAATAGGAAGTACTTTTGTTTAGAATTTCATTGTTGATCTAGCCAATAAAATCCTGTTTTATGTATTCTCATTATTTTAATTTTATGAGTGAATTATTCAATGTTTGGAAAACAGAAAATATATATTGTTTGGTCCACTGTTGATGCAAGCAAGCTACTTTGTTTAATCTATATCTAAAATTGCCAAATAAACATTATTATTAAAGCTGTATTACTATACACAAACTCCACCCTTAAAGAGCCTGTGGCTATCAAATTTCATCGCCATGGTTATTAGATACTTATAAAATCTTGTATAATATACACAAATCTTCACTCTCAAGGGAGCTTCGGAAATCCCAAAGTCTGAGTACAGACTATCACAGCATCCTACAGTACCAGGTACGCGTGCATGCTCCTGGGCCAAGTGAGACATAGATAGGGAAGTGTCTAGCCCAAGGACACGATCTATGTTATTATGATCAGCATGTGATTGAACTGCTGATCGGGAGATTGCAAGCCTCAAGCCATACCGCTAAGCCATATAAAATCTCAACACAGATGTACAGTACAATTACATCTGTTGATAATTACGGATTTATAGTGTACAATGTCAATGACCATAATATACAGAATAAATTTAAATTTAGCAATTTTCGACAATGTGTAAATATCAATAAAATCAAATACAGTTTCAATTACACTACTAATTTATACGCAAGTCCTCAGGGGGCTACCCATCAATATTCAAAACATCCATTGCCCAGTTAATGTCAGTATCTCAGACTGGAGTCTCTCCAAGTTAGCAATCCCAAGTAATATGCATGTTTTGCAAGCAGGAGGGGGTACACTTTTGTGAGTGAAGCAAGCCTTAGGCTGGGCGGCCTGTGAGGTTTAGCAGTAGAGCCCTGGTGGGATCCGGAGAAAATTCCGCTTGAAGCTCCAACAAAGTAGCATATTTAGGGCCTTTTGCAATAATTGGGAACGATTCTAGTAAACATGTTTTAAAAAGTGTACCTTTTGAAATTGGGGAGGGGGTGTGTCCACACTCTCTGAACTCACTAGAGAACAGACACAAATTGTGCAATAAGGCAAGCCATAAAACATACCGAAACTTAACCCGCACACAGCAGTGGGTGAACAACGACCATTAATTGAGAAATAGAAAAAGAAAATATCAGGCCATAGAACTTCTTACTTTAAATTCAACAGCAAAGTCATTTACTGCGAAGTAACATGATTTGGGATGACAGAATACAGCTTACCTTGACTTCAACAGCAGTGGTTGTGGAACTGTCTTGTACCGAGCAATATAAGCATAATTAGCACGACATGGCAGACCACAAAATACACTTACCTTGACTGCAACAGCAGTGGGTGTGTGACAGTCATTATTCTCCCTCTGTAACAGATCTGGGGAGACTCTTCCTAGCAAGTACTGAAGACACTCCAACTGGCCAAACTTTGCTGCTAAATGTAGTAAAGTGTTGCCCTTTAAGTCTGATACATTGCACCGACTTTCATCCGAGTCCAGATAGTACTTCTGCAAAAGCATTTAATTGTACACTTACTTCAGATACCCTATGTTGAGCCAAAGAAAACTTTAAAAATAAAATTATTTTGTACATTTAATTTATTAGCTTGCATATTTTGTTAAGCACTTATTTGCAGCATCAACAAGAACTTAACAGCACCCTGATACAAATTTTAAAAAATAAAAAAATTATTATTACTCAAATTAGAAAATATCTTGTCGCCATAACATTATCATCCTGTATTCTTTCGATAGACTTAAATTATCTAGTAGTAAAGATTTTGGAAAAGTATGTGAATCAGCAAGAAAGTTTTTTTTTTATTTGTGATGAATATCATTGAAAGTTATTAAACTTTTTTGACACTTATTGATAAGCTGTTTGCTGCATGGCCCCCGCCCCTAGATATGCCACTGCATATAATATTTGAGGAAATAACAATTAATAATGCATGGTTATAATAATTGTCATTGCTGTAATAAAGATGATAATAATGAAATAAAAGGTTTATACCATCTTGTTCAAGTCACCGTGCATTGCTGCCTTCATAAGTGATCTTTCATCATTGTGCTTCACATGATTTTGATGAAGGGACACTGTTTGCTTATGATTTACCTTGGCTCTGGAAACATCCGCACTTTCTATATTTATCACTGAACCTTATAAAATAATGCAATCATCAATTATTATCCAATAAAAGTTAATATCGAGGCTAGCTAAGCGGACTAAAAAATTACTTCACAGTGATGGCACCAAAGTTTTACGACCACTAATTTTTATAATCAATAGTAAAGATGATTTGTAGAAATTAAAAAATGGTACAATCATAAAAATTAAGTGATTTACATTACCGTAATTTGATTGGCCAATGGTTACTCTTAAACAAATTACTATCCATTACATTTGTCTTCATATATGATAAGCAATATAATATAGTAAAATTTGAACAAACAAGCGCCATATCACAAATTGACTGGACATAGCAACTATAGTCTCAACATAAAGTACTGACGATGCTGACCGACATTCAGCAAGATTGATTGCTCCGCTACGCCCGCCCCTTGGATATCGTTGCTAAGGTACCATAAAATGACAGCATAAACCTATGTGAAGATGTGCATTTGTGGGATAGCACGTGACAATAGTGCGTATCCTGGTCAGGTTATAATATAAATAAGAAAGGCTTATTGTTTATACCTAAAACGTAAGCATATATTAGTTTCTAATATCTAAAACATTATTTTCTTAAATAAACAAATAAGATTACAACCATTGGATTACCTAATTGTTTTTCTGCTTTTAAATTGACATTATTTGTCCTGTGAGTTGTTTGTGCTGTGGTTGGTTTAAGTTCTTTTTGAAGTTTGCTTTCCGTTTTTAGCAATGGATGACTCTCATCACCTTTAGGTGGGATCGATTCAGGTTTCCTTTCAGAGTCCACAGTGGTTTGATAAATCCTTGAGCTCTTTAACAAATTAGTAAGCAATATCTTTAATTGTTTTGTCTTACTAAACTTTACTTTATTACTTTTATGACTATCGCCATCTTCGCTATGTTTCCCCTTTTCATTTGGATTATTTCGGTTTTTAGAATGACGTTTCCGTTTGTGCTTCGAAAGATGTTCATCATATTTAGAAATTGCCTCAAATTCCTCAATAAACTTCTGTAGTTCTTCCGAATTGATGTCAAAATTGTAAACATCATCTTCAATTACACATTCTGCTCTTTTCGTTGGGAGTAATGAATCCAGTATAGCCTCATTTTCACTAACAAACTCATTGCTAATTACAGTATCATCTTCTAATTCATAGTCATTTATCTTGGTTGATGTTGTTTCGTTCAAGCATCCACCGAGATCAACGGATGGCAACCCAAGTAAATATGTGTCATTTTGTTTTTGTTCATTCAGTGCTTCAGTACTGCTTGTAGGTGATGTAAAGAGCAGGGCATCTACAAAAGATAGAGGGCAAAAAATTAAAACAAATCAATTTCAACTCTAAAGCGAGTCATTTTTTAAAATAATAATAATAAAAAAGGTTGAGTTTGTTTTGATAAGATGCAATTGATAGGTAGATAAGTAGGATAAACAAATAAAAGCAAATCAACCTAACCTATGAAAATGGATAATTTATTAGAATAACAATGTCTTTATTTGAATTTGTTTAAACAAGATGCAATTGATATTAAAGGTAAACATTGTCTTTCAAAGAGACGTAACTATAAATATTCCAGTTTAATAACGAGAAGACCTTACAAAAATCCCAGAAAGGAACCTTTCACCTAATTTAAATTGATGCTGAAGTGAAAAATATGTACTGTTGAATATGAAAATTGGAATATACTTAGATACATGAAATTTATACTATAAGAGGTAATTAGGATATAAAACAAGTGTTAACATATTTAAAAAGTTGTTTCATTTTATGCGTACATTTTTTTCACACATCAACTGATTATGTATAAGCAGACAGGAATTATTCATTTTTCATCATTTTCATGATTATGAAACATGCTAGGAAGTCAACAGTGTATGTAGGCCCTTTTTTTTAAAAATGAAAATGATGATCTTAAATTGACAAAAATAATACTTTTATTTATGTACATTATTTGTTTTTAAAGAGGGTGTTGTCAAAAAAAGAGGGTGTTTTGCATTCTCTTGAAAATGATGAAAACTCCAAATCTTACCAAAAAAGCATATCAAACTGACTAAAAAGCATGTCAACAACATATACATATAGCAGTGATCTATTTCACAGTATGTCTAGCAGGTTTAATTATGGATTAATAACTATGCTATATTTCTAAATTTTCTACAATAGAAATTGCAATTAATATTACTGTTAATGACAGGTAGTTTCACTTCACATACTTTTATTATTTTAATACCCAAATATTTGATCCTACAGTGTACATCATAAAGCAAAAGTACAGATAAATCTATATACTACTATGGTATATAATTATGTGAAAAGAAAATTTTCCACATTCACCCTCCAGAAGTTTGACCTGTCTTTTTTAAAATACTACAATAAACATATTCATTGATTATTAGAAACAATAACAATAATATATTTAAATATTATTATTAGAAGTACTACTGTAGTTAATATTTTGAAAATGTGGATACAAATTTGCTTTTTGGTTTTTTGTCGTTTATTTGTAGTGGTGATTATTAGTTATGATGATTTTTGCTGTTTGTTGTATACTAGAATTTTTAACAGAACTCCTTGACCATTATTCCTAGTGAACTCAACAATCGGTATTTAAAAATACTTTATTTCTTTATTGATTTTCAAAGCAGGATGTGATTTAGATCTTATGCTGATATTTCAGGGGGGTCAGTATTAACAAGGTAATCCAACAAAAGGACGCTATAATCTCGGGACATCAAAGGTTTTAAATTTGACATCGACATTCTAAGCGTTGCAAGCTCCTACAAGCTTGACTTCAATCGCTTTGGTTACTCACAAAAACAAGGGCAACTCAAATTCTAAAAGCGTGTTAGGAACACCAACGGAACATAAAACCTGGCCATGCACCTCTCAGTTGTCATAAAAATCATGTACTGTCATTTTGTTGGTCAATTGTCACAAATAAAATTATATTTTATAGAAGCAATTAACAAGTTCACGGTCAAAAGAAATCAGATGTAACAGACTTTGCGAAGTGCCCGAAATTAATAAGGTAACCATAGACTAAACGCTGACGGCTGTACTTGCAACTAGTGTTGCATTGTCGATGCCAGATTAAAGATCAAAATACATTAGACATACGCTATATTTACATGCGGAGATGATCATTCTTTTGTTTAATTGCCTTGGTATCAAGCTGTTGCTATTAAATCTTATAATTTGAAGAGATTGGAGGTATTTTCAACAGTACGAAAAAAGTATGTATAAAGTTGAAAATAAAATCTTAAGCAATGAAAGAATCAAACTGAAAATAATATAAACTGACACATTTGTGTCTCATGCAAGTTTTCAAATACTCTAACTACATGATGAATGAATAATGAAAAAAACACCAATTTTATATAAAATGAAAATGAATACTAAAAAGAAATGAAAATAACAAAAATGAATTGTATTAATGAAAGTTTGAAACTGGCTTCAGACTCAACCACTTCTCGAGGGGAGGGGGGATTGGATACATTTAGATTAATATTAAATAAGAAATAATCAACGTTGAGAGCCACATTTGAATAATTGTTGTGTTTCAATGTTTAATTGAGGGCAGCACAATGAATATTCCTGTAGATAACAAAAAAACTTTTGTATTATAAATTATGCTAGCATCTAAATATGCTCAAAAGCACTCCTCCACAGTTGTGGGGTGAGGAGGTCTACCGTATATGTTTTTCTTTGTCATCATACAAGGTACTTTTTATACCTTGTTTTTGTGGCCTGCCACACACAAGTACGATTACTTTGAAAAAAAAAATATGTGTTAGTGTACTATCACATCTTTGACCACGAAAATTTGAAAAAAAAAAAAAAAAAAAATTACTATCCATTTCTATATTTCAAATTTTTCTTATCCTACCAAATGCTGCCATATCTCCTGATAAATGGCTTATCATATTCGGACAACAGAAGCACAACAATTCTTGTGGCAATCAACGTGTTAAGGAAATGTACAGTATGAAAAGTATACACCAGATGATAATTTGTGGGTAAGAAATATTCATGAAGATTACAGTATGATATTTGGTATGGAAATTAATGGATGCACAGCAAACACTACATGGTATACTAATTACTCTACCTCCATTGGCTGATTGACCTGTAGCTTTACAACCTTGAAAATGGAAATATAAATTTTGTACTTTTAAAGATATGCTGTCTGATAAAAACCCTAAAATACTCATAAAATAACACTGAATTGTTCATTTGAAAGGATGGAATCGTGATGCAACAGAACATCCAATAATCCAAACTACTCAGTTTTTGCTAACAGAAAATTGTTAAAGCCATGGTTCTGGAAGAAATGTTTTTTTTTAATGTGTTATACAACAAATTTTTCTAGGACACAAAAAGGATGTTTGACAAAAAACTTGGGAATGGTTAATACGATACAAATGTTTGGGAAAGAAAACTTACTGTATGAGCTAGTCCATGCCTTTGCGACTACTAAAACTATTATTATTATTATCATCTTTGAACATTTTACTAAAAATTTTACTGTTTACTGTTTTATTATTATTTACCTTTGTGGTAGTTAGGAATAGGTTAATTTGTAATTTGTTGCAATTAACTCTATAAATTAATATTATTTATTTAGGGTCACTCTACATATCAAGTTCATAAATGCTTTAAGTGTCTGCTTTTCATCAACAGCATATGTGTTTTTTATTTTATGTTTTAACATCATTGTTGTTACATAAAGGAAGCATTAAATTGACTTAAACTTCTCAGACCTCACACACACATTTTATGTCTTTAATGTTTTACGTTGTATTGTGGAAAGTCTTTAGAATAGATTACCATGACAAGAAAATACCGCATGTACAAAAAATACCAACATTTACACTTGTAGCAGACAATGCCAGAGAATCCCCCACTGTAATCCCCCAACTATGGCTTTCTACACAGGGAGAATAATCTCTGTAAAAGGATCTGAATATTATAGGAGCAACAATATTATTATGGTTGTAAATTGGCATAACAATTTTTCCTTCTACCCTTTGAAATGAAAGCTAATAGTTTAAAGATAAGAAATTAAAATATCGGAATTCTATTTTTTAAAGTTTATGAAATCAAAACAGACAGTATATCTTTAAAAGAGACAAACAACTGATTAGGAAAGAACATATAAGATATTAGGAAAATAAAATAAAATTGTAATATTACAATTTATTATATTTTATTAAACACAATTAAATAATCTTATATTCTTACGGTATTTAAATATTTGTCTACAAATTGTGAAAGCTTAATGTTGAAAAAATAAATTAAACTTCAGCTGTTTTCTGAATTAATAATGAACAGTTTTGCAGTTTACTGATGCATGATCTGGTTTTTATAGTAGCTTCAGAAATATGATCTTCATAATGTAGTTAGTAAAGTAGTTATATATTCACAAAGCATAAATCAGCTAAGTAAACCTAAAAGCTGTTTTTCATCATGGCTGCGAGAAAACACTCAAAATCACACTCACTTTACAAATTAAATTTTACAAAAAAACCTATACATAAAAGATTGTGTTATAAACTACATTCTCAGATGGCCAGTCACAGCCACATAAAAAGTTATATATACTTTTAAAACCTACTACTACTAGTAATACTTAATAATGTATAACTTAAGATGGCTATTATAAAAGCAGAGATACCAATTAGAAGGATAATTGTTCCAGCACCTCTTACATTCCTAGAAAGTATACCTATTCCTTATAATCATTATTATTCATTAGCATTATTATATTAAATGAAGTATAATTAATTAAGATTATACTTTACATTTATTTTTCCAAGTGTTTTTTTTTTTAATCTAATCCCTGAACAACCTCCATGTGAATTTTCTAAATGAACTTTGTATTTGAAAATATCTGGAAAATCTGAACTGAACTATAAATCTGTCCCAATCCTTGATTAACTGTACAGGGCAAGAAAATTGCTGGAACCTCTCACATGACCGTGAACAATTTTTGTTTGCATTTTTATTTATAAATTGACTGAAGATGCTTATTAGATAAGCTGAAAGTTCATACGAAGGCCTACAACTGTATATATTCTGCAGAATCATGCACAAATACACACAAGACTATAAGTTTGACATTCTGAAGTCATTCCCACGCACCTCAAAGTAACATCAAAGGAAATCTATAAAATTAACTTCCCATTAACACAACAAAACCTTTGCTCAAGAATCACTAGCCAATTCATAGGAATGCATTATATTTCAAACTTAACAATACATAGGTACCTTAAACACACTCGCAGGAATGAAATTAAATCATTCTAATCTTTTAAAAAAATCCTTACTTAGGCACCCATATCACCCTCATAGGAACAAAATATTATCTGCTCTTTAACCTTACAAAATACAGGCACCCCTAGCTCATTCAGAAGAAGACAATAATTATCTACTCTTTAACCTAACAAAATTCTTGTGGCACCCATAGCTTACTCACTGGAACACATTACAATTAAATGCTTCTTAATAGTGAATCCTTTACTTGAGCATTCCTAACTCACTCGAAGGAACCCAGCATAATCAACTGCTACTTAACCTTACAAAATCCTTTACTTGGGCATCTCGGCTCAATCAAAAGAAATCTATAATATTAAAATCTCATAGGCACCTTGACTCACTCAAAGGAATTATTTATTTAATAGCTGGTGATCATTTAATAATTCAAAAATATATTACCAAATAATAAAGCAACCATAGACAAAAAAAACATATTTAAAGAGAATACGAAAGACTTCATTTTCCATGAACTTTTACAAATAAAACAATACAAGATGACATGACAGACAATAATATCATTATCCTCATACTTTTTAAACTGTCACTTCTGTTTCTACTTGACTGATCAATTATAGTGGATAGCATAATTCTCATTTTTTTTCTTAAGAACTGGCATCAATTGTTACATGAGGCCTAGACATAAAGGAAATGAGGAAAGCCCCAGATAATTAAAATAATTGCAGGAAAAGTAGGCTAAGATGTGTATTCTCCCAATGGGACCCTGTAACCTCTACATTCAGTGCCACAAAATCTTCTGTACACCTGTTTATTTCTTTCGATTATAACATAATTTTTCCAAAAAACTTTTTCCTATTATTCACCTAAAAAAAATTGAATAAATATCTCTGGTGATTCTCAACCAAATATATTATTCATTCCATTAAAAAATAAATTTAAATTGACCAAAAAATAAATTTAAATTGACAAAAAAAATAAAAAAAGTGTCAATTTATTATATACAGCAATTTCTCACTATATTTCTACATTTCCAGTATGTAAGACCTGGTAGCAATGAGTAAGAGCTAGTAGAAATGCATGAAATTTGAATGTAATAAGAGATCTTGCAGCATGGCACAGATGCTGGCAGAGTAATGCAAAAACCTGCAGAGTTATTCAAGAATTGGTACCATGATGCAATAGCTAGCAGAAAAATGCAACAGTTCCCAACTTGACTTGAGTGCTGGCTGTAAAGCAAGAACGGCTTGGGCAAAAATGTAAGAAATGCGAGCATGATATGAAAGCTTATAGGCAGGATAAGAGCAGAATGAGACAAGAGCTAGGGGCACGATGCAAACATTCTCAGCATAATATGAGTGCTGGCAGTATGATGCAAATGTTAAAAGGGTAATGCAAGGCTGTCAACAAGGTATAAGACCTGGCATTTTATATGATATAGGAAGCATGAATAGAAAGCTACTATTACAATATAATACCTTTCAACATTAGCTGGTAGTGAGATGTGAGAGTTGCCAGAGTAATCCGGCATGATACAAGAGCAGGCATCATAACATACAAGCTGCCAGAATAATGCAGGAGCTGCCAACATGGTTTGAGATCTGTCAATGTAAGATATGTGAATGCAAGAGCTGCCAGCATGGTTTGAGATCTGCCAATGTAAGTTATGTGAATGCAAGAGCCAGCATGGTTTGAGATCTGCCAATGTAAGATATGTCTGTGCAAGAGCTGCCAGCATGAATTGAGATCTGCCAATGTAAGATGTGTCAAAATAACACACATTAGAGCTGCCAGTGAGAAACAAGAGCTACCAGTATTTTAATGCAAGAGATATCAGCATATAAGCAGTTTGTAGATACTGTACCTTCAGAAGCCTCAGGATCATTTTGCATCACTTGTGCCGCTATGTACGGAAAATGACGAGCCAGGTAGTCCATTTGTTCCTCATTGCTGAAGTTTTCAAAATCATACTCTTCGGCATTTCCTTCTTCTTCAGACTCCTGTTAAAAGAATCAAGGATAGTTTACTGTATATAAATAAGTTTAATTAGGGCTTTTAGTGATCTTTCTGTTTCTCTGTTACAGTACAACTTGAGTAGTGATTTTTTTCCTTTTTTTGGCAGGAATATTTTTGCAATATCCCTTCCAGGCAGTTCTCATGTACATCTATTTTTATAATTGCATTACTTAATAATTAATGTGCTTAAATTCTATCTTACTCCACAACATACAGTAATTTATGTTGATGCAATAAATGTAGCTAATCAGAGTTTTAAAATATTGAGATGTTTTTTTAAGTTGGAATAATATTTGTCACCCCTAATGTTATCATTTTATGTTTGAATAGGTGGAGAGCCAGTAATTAAAGTGGTTTCCAAATTTATACATGAACTTAAAAATAAAGACCCTATTGGCCACTTTAATTATGAATGTCCACAAAGTACATCATAAATAAACAAATACAATAGGTCCAAAGTACAATAATGAACAATCTATATACACACAGTACCAAGGTAAACTAGGCACATTGCCGCCAAGGAACCTATATACTGTAGGACTTTATTCACAAAAACACCAGAAAATAACTTCTTCAGAGAGCTATTACAACATTTAAGGTAAAAAATTAGCAGAGATTAAGATGCTTCTATATCTTTGTATCTTTTCCATACCACTGAATTTAGCTGAATTTCTTTGTTTAGATATTTCATGGTTTAATAATTAGTTGATATTTTTCAGATAATTTTACATCCTTTGCTAATTTCTTTCATCTTGGGCAACCTGAGCATTTACTTGTAGTGGATATGATGATATGAATGCTGCTAGAAAAACCAAATTCGTTAAAACTCTATTATTGTGTTTTAACTCTGATCTTATAATTTACATTAATTGTTAATCATTGAAGTAAGCTAACAAAAAATTAGGTCTATATATAAGTTAATGCTGTGGATCAATTAAAGCCTGTAGGGCAGGGGTACAGACTTTAGTCTTCCAACCAAATGGATGTGGGTCAAAGATGGCCAGCCACGTCCTTGTGTCCCTGGACAAGGCAAAATACCCAAGCAGGTCATTCATGATGTCACATTTTGTCAATACACAGGATAAGTACCAGGTAGGAGGTGAGATTTAGAATAAAGTTTGGTAGTAATGATCAATATCGTTGCTGTACTTCTAGGAATATCAACCCTTCCCTCACCACCTTGGGAGCAGAAAGATTGCTTAGGTTTTTTCCAATCCCTAGGAAAACACAAACTTGTGCATAAGACTATTATATGCACTATTACAATCAAACAATATAAACAATAATTGGTAACTAAATATAAAGGCAGAAATATGTGTGCAATATTAAGGGGGCGAGGAAGAGCGGAGAGGGCATCTGAAAATCTGACACAGAAAATTAGTGAAATAGTTGAAGATATGAATAGAAATTAAATACACTCCTTCCAATATTAAATACTTCATAAATTAAACTGAAATTATTATATTTCATAGCATAAAAATGAGTGGAGCTATAGCTTGGTGAGTTGTAATTGCCTTCCACTCCCAGTATCCTGGGTTCAATTCCTGTCATGGAAAGAGATTTTTTTTTTCTCACGACCAAAGACTGAACACCCTAAGACTGAAAATGAGACTTGATACTAAAAAAAATTAATAACAAAATAAAATAACAATATAAACACACATCTCTATTGGCTCCCTATTTTAAAAAGTTAAATATGTTGACAAACATTGAATATGCTTATGCTTAATTACCTAACCCATTCCCCTCTGTCAACTGAGTTCCTCCCCTCAACATTTTCTGACTGTTTCGTCTCTTAAAGACAAAACCATAACACATGGTCAATCCGCTTTTTTTCCAAGCCCTGTCTCAATGTAATTCTGTACTGCCCTCTGTTCGTGATTTTCCTAAATTTACTTTCTTTAAAAAAAAAATTTAACATGTAGATCAAACTTATTTCAGGAATGATGTTAAATTTGGTTTATTCTCCTCAATTATTGCTGATGAATTTTGAATAAATTGCACTGTATTCTAATCTAATCTAACTGAATTGTGCTCTGATGAAGGTACAGTTTTTGTTTTTCTCATATGTGATAAACATCGCTCTCTGCAACAAAGCTCAAATGCGCTGGGGTTCCGACCCTGAAATATGCCAAGAGGTGAAATGAAAGTGCTAAAGTGGAGGAAATTAGCACACTTCAGAACTATGTTCTATCCCAATAGGCCAAGGACAATAAACTCATCCAAGATGATCATACAGGTTTCTTAATAGGTGTCACCTTTTTCCAGGCTGCAGACTAGACCATTAAACAAGTAGGCCTCTTTTCTTTGTTGGTCTGGGTTAAACTTTTTGATGTAATCATTTATAAACACCTCAAATGATAAGAATAATTGAAAAAGGCAATGAGAATCTGTTTATTCTACGTCTAACAAAACAAGTTCAAAATAAACTAATAAAAAAAACATCAAAGCCCAACGTTGTAGCGGCAGAACCTAACTATACTTGGATAAAAAACACATGCCTAGCATTATGATAGATAAGATATAGACGTGTTAATTTGGTTCTCTGTAACTGTTTTTTCCCATTGATAAATATGTGCAGAAAAATGGAAATAATCCTCTTCTTTTTTGAGTTCCAGCCTACAATACTTTATAGTATCTTATAGCATCTATGCTCCCCCTTTCTATTCTATATGTAACGATCTGTGTAAATAAAGTCAAATGAAAGAAAACAACCTTCTGTTTGTTTAACTTATGGTTATAGAGCTGGAAACATTTTTTTATGCATGGTTTGTACTGTATATATCATATGCAAAGAAAAACAAACACATTGACAATCATGGTTTTTGATGCAAGCCGACTCGTTTTGTAGTGATATGAACATTTTCATTTCTCATCTGCATACTTGAATTTTTTTTACACTATAAGAATGAGTACTCTTACCTGATCAGTTAGACTTGGTTGAGAACTGCTTGTATCGTCCATGTTGAGAGAGGGATACTTGTAGTCAATGTTTTCCAAAGGATGCTAAGGCAATAGAAAAAAAAAACAAATTCAATTTAAAATAGGAAAATTCTGAAATGTTCAAATTAAACAACATTTAATGAATAATTTTAAAGATGGCCATCTCTGGTGAAATTTTAATTTAAAAAAAACGTTCAAATAAGAACATGAAGTTACTGATTTAAACATATTAATAAATTAATAAATTTCTATGAAATACAGAACAAACCAATTTGGTTTCCAATGATTTACAAACATTTTACTATCGAAACCCTTAAATTGACTACCAGCCAATTTAATGGTATTATAGAAGGAACTAACAATGGTATACGACATGTGCAAGATTTGGTATTTTATGGAATATTATGTTAACAACAAACTAACATGTTTAGGTGATGTTACTGCAAAACTGTATTCTAGATTTGATTTTTCCAAGGAAATTTTCATCTCGAACTTGGCATCTCTTCTATTAGATAGCTCCATGCTGTTTTTAATGTTTGAAAAACTCTTATATTTCAAATTTGAAGGCTAAGAACAGGAAACAGAACAAAACATACATTTTCAATATGTATTGATTTTTTCCTTTCTAATGTTCAAAGTCAAACACATTATTAATAGTGTCATTTAAGAAAGTTATAAATTTTTATATATACTGAATGAATGTACAAGTGGATAAGTGGTTTTAATGATCCTAATTTGCATCGTTTCTAATCATTGCATTGAAGCATAAAATGATGAATCTCTTCAGGAAATGGATCAGTGTCGATATAATTACAGATTCACAAAATGTATAAATAGGGTATTGATTATTACTGAAATTCAATTACTAAGTGCATTCATGATGTAAGTCTCATTAACCACATTCCACAATATGTGATAATTACTTTCATTTGGCAACTAATTATTTTCCATTATTATATAAATAGGGTATTGATTATTACTGTAATTCAATTATTAAGTGCATTCATGATGTAAATCTCATTAACCACATTCTACAATATGTGATAATTACTTTTACTTGGCAACTAATTATTTTCATTATTAAGATTATAGACCATTTTATCGGGATTATTTTGGAACAGCGCCGCCAACGTCTCACAAATCTTTAAGTGGCCTAGCCCAGCCTAAGCAGAGAGCACCGAGCAGCGAATCGCGCCACTAGACCTTTGCTATAGCAGCAGTAGATAACACATACGATCATACTAATTACTGTATATGTAAACATCAAAATAGCTTTTATATAAATATTTCATTCTTTTTTCATTTTAACATATCGTGCTCATTAGTAATTTAGTTTTATCGTTTAATTATTCCATGATGGGAACTACGTAGAGTGAAATGCTAGGCCCCTGGAAGTCTACCAGCAGTGGTTGCCATTCCATAAAGTTATAACCACTCATAAGCTATAAATGCCAGTTTATCGGAAATTTTCATTTCAAATTTGGCGAAAATGGTGTATTATTAGTAAGTATCTGGCCACACATTCACTGTGCTTCTTCCGTAGTTCACCAAGGGTTCACCTACAATATCTGTGATATTATGAGTACTGTGCTAAAAATTTAATATCTACATTCAGCACGGAAATCAATGCAATGGCTCTGCAAGTGTGATTCACTATAATAAAAACAGAATAAATAAATATTTTAACAATGGGAACTATCCTTCCAGATGGCACATATATAAGAATAATTAAAATTTTACTCACTTTCTACAATTAATGATAACATTGATAAAAAATTAAACTATATTTCTGAGTAGTATATTAGGCCTACTGAGTTCTTTGTTGGTATCCTTGAGTTTCATGATATATTGGATAGACTTGATTAAATAATTTGCTTGCTATTATTAGGTCAATAAGAATGTTTTACACTGCCTACTCTTTTTTACTTTCCCACAGCATACCACACCCAGAAAATACACTAACCACTCATAAGCTATAAATAATTTGTCGCCAGGCCTGGCATAGCCTTAAATGGGCCTGTATGGTTACTGTATGTCTGTTGGCTGTGAGGGACCTCATCTTTGTATTCAAAAAATAACCAAATGAAAATACATGTTTTTAAAAGATTATTTTAACTTTAAAATCTAAGATACTCTATGTGTATGGTGCTTATAACGAGCATAGATATTAATAATTAATCATTCTCATTATTATCATCATTAATATAGAATAAATGAAAATAGAAAACAGTGCTCAACGCCACAGTAAAGGAGCCAGTAGTATAACAATTTAAAGAAATAACGGGACAGTTTTCAAATCCTTCCACACTTATCATTTATAACATAGCTGGTTTCCTCTATATCAAACAACTCAACTCACCCTATTAGCTGACTTGGTGACTGCATATAGCATAAAACTGTAGAATTGTAAAAAAATTGGAACATAATTTTTTACAATATTATTAATATTGTATCATAAAATAATAGTCCCCCACAAGAAAAAATTTAGTAAACAACCTATCATTTTCAAATGTGAACTGCTGAAACAGTTGTATATATATTGTTACAGAACCAAAACCTTTCACTCCCCTAATTAACATGATTTGTCATATCTCAACATCTACATGATATGCTCACCTAGATTATCTATTGATCCTGTTAAGTGTATGAAGACAGAGATGCGAGGTCATTCAATATAGTGTCCTAGTTGTTTCCATAGAGGTATTAATATAAAACTCCAATTGCATTGAAAGAGAACTAGTTGAATCTCTTTGCATAAATATAAAGTTTATAAACTTATATTTTGCATGCTGTAAAATCAACCCATCTTGGTCAGACTTTTGTTCGTTCTCTGGTAAAGTATTCCATATTTTTGTGCTAAAATAAGTGCATTCATCAACTACATACGAGTCGAGTGGGCAAGCATTAAAAGGCAGGTGCTGCTAACTACAGACCTAACATTTGCTATTAACACTAAATTTTATAAAAAATATACTAATTCAAGTTTTTTTATTTGTCCTACTTCAAATACAAACTAATAAGTACAATTTCTGTAATTTTTTATAATGTAGGTATTGTTTACAATTTGGCTGCAAAAAAGCACCATTATTTAAATATTGATTTTCTAATGGAATAATGGTACTGTAGCTAGTTTTTCAGAGCACAGGTATTTCAAAGATTTCTAGAGACCTATTTACTATATACACTTGTTTAATACACTGTGCATGCAAACAATTTTACAAACAATATGAACATTCTATTTTATGTTCCCTTTTTCATGAGGTATACAACCAATTTATTCCATCTGTTTTAATGCTAGGCAAATGCAATATATGAGAATACATAGTGCATACTATACTTAGTATGCCATACTAAAGCTTTCCATTAAGTTGTCAGATTTAGCAAAGAGCAACCATTCTATACCTGAAAAAGGTTTATTGTTTAATCCTATTTAAGCCGTATTTGCCCATAGCATTAAATTTGCCATTTCACTTGTAATTGAAAATAAAATAGCACTTAAAAAATAAAAATATCTATGCTTCCTACTTCAAAATACTATTAATATACAGATATTCAATTCAAATTTCACTCTAAAACAAATTCTAATCATAATTTAAATATACTTACTCAATAAAAAAAACCAGATAGTAACGATATTTACTTACAATTCAAAGGCAGGCCAATATACATTTGAAATGGCTAACGGTCTACTCGCAATCTGACAGGGTATGGTATGCTATTCTATTATATCCAATTAGTCACCCATTGATTGATCGGTGTTTGCCCACCAATTTTTTGCCTCATTAAGTATCAACAAAATTTGCTAATCATAGCGCTAAACAACAACAATAAATCAGGCTGTAACAAAAGCCGTGCAACCGGTCTTTGTCACCAATTTCAACAAAAACAAAATCAATGCAATTTGCCACACAACAGACCATTGCATTAAAATATCAAGCTCTTTTCTTGATGGAATTACATCCAGTTTAAGCGGTAATCTTAAAAATGTTAACAAAAGGTAGATTTTGAAGTACACTGTTGTCTAGTTTGTCATGCCCTTTACAGGGCACAAACCCTTAAACAGTGCAGACAAAAGGGTGGGTGGAAGATGGAGGAAGGGGGAAAATCAGTGGCAGATACAGTAGCACATGGAGGCATGTTACATATACATTATGATTATAATGTTCCATCCATTACACTTAAACAACATGAAGTAATATCACTTGCCTATATTTGGTTGTGATATGATATCATTATGTTTAAATATGGGTACAGTATATGATATGATATCATCATGCCCAAATATGGATAAGGTAGGTATGACATTATCATGGCCATAAGTGCACATATCGAATGTTTATCACAGCAAATTGTATGTGGAGATATCAGACTCCAGGTCACAGTTCCTCCTGAAATAACCTGAATAAAAAAAAGTGAACCAAATTTATCTATGGTGACCTAGCCTTTTCTTGTTTAAAAATATTTGTATTGAACTAAAAAAAATATAAATTTTTGTTTACATGTAAATTATTAGTTTGTATTTGAAAAATGAGAAATACAAACATACAGATATAAAAATAGAACAGATGCATAAAGTTTTATAGATGCATCCATTTTATTTTTCATTTTTATTTCATTTCATCCATCAGTGTAAATGCCAATAACAGTATAGATTACATAGTAAAAATCATACTACACACAAGAAGTTCACATCTCATTATGAGGAAGTGAAATTGTTTTTCGTCGTGAGAAAACATTTTTGTTATTTTGACACAAATAATATCAAAATGCCATTCTGCATTCTTTGCATACATCTTTAAATTGGCAGTAATCAATTTAAGGATATCCATAGTAAAAATTCTGTAAATCATTGAAAAAAATGTTTCGAGTTGAGTCTTATTTAAAATAAATATCTTATTTCATCCTTTTAAAAGAACAATTTAATGCTTTAATTTAATTACATTTTTCAAATTTTATGCCAAATATTAAATTAATTTTTAACAATTTATTCCCAATATGATGATGCTATGGCCTTTTGTAAAACAAGAGGCATAGGAAATTAACAATGGTGGATCCAGGAATTCAAAATAGAGGGGGCCTAGGGAGGGACTATTATAGAATGAGGGTCTATACGGTATACCACCGCAGACCCACAATGGTTGGAGTTCGAAATTTCAAGAGGAAAAATCATGGCACCTCTACATGTCCGGAAATGGCAATCTCAGACTTAAATTTTAATTTTCTATTTTTCTACATTAAAAAAAATTTTTTTTTTTGGGGGGGGGAGAAGTGGGGAAAGGATGGGAGAAGGGGAAGGCAGACTTCCTCCTTCCCTTAATATCTGCATAGGACCATTACTTATCACTATTAATATTTAAAGGATGGTGGAAAACTTGTAGGTCTACTGTACTTCTCACTTAGGGCCCACTAGTATAACCTCAGAATGTGTTTACATAGGGAATGCTCACTGGCAATGAAAACATCACTGCAGAGAAGGAACTACAAATATAATTGACTAGATAGTAATTTTGGAATGTAAGAAAACACTGCTACAAGTTAACCCCATCCTTCTTGAATACATTGAACAATTTATCATTGGAGAATGTAGATCATGAAATAAAACCTTCTAAAATACTACATCATTTGAAAAAGAAGTCCAACCCTACTAAAGAATGAACTCAAATTGGTGCAGCAAACTGGGCGTAATATAAATAATAGGCTGCCTCTTCTCTTCATTTATACCTGCCATATTATTTATAAGGTTCAGAGGGAACATATTCCGTTTGGACCTATTTTTACTTCAGACAATGATTATATTTTGTCAAATAAATATTAAATAATCAACATCATCATCATTTTGTCATTACAAAAATATAGATTTATAACACATTTTAAAGATATAATATCTGAGAATTTTATATAATATATTATACTGTAATTATATAGCTAGCAGTTTTAAATAGTATACAATTGTATACTTTTTATGTCCATCATAAAAAAAGGAAATACATTTGCAACCGAATGAACACAACATGATCAAATATAACAAAATATTTAAAGGCCTAAATTAAGAAGCTGAAAATTTAAATGGTCTCATAAAATATTTTAATTTGAAGAGCTTCTAAAAAAATATCTTAAATAAATAAGAAATCTATGTAAATTTAGACATTGCGAGCATTACGAGTGTTGACATTGAAGCATTGAGTTTGATTTACATTATACAAAATTCAAATTGTCTCATAAGGCTACAAGAATTAACATCGCATTTTAGATCAGTTTCTGAGGTCTAGCATAGCAAGCTAACCAATCATAGTATGGGACAGCTCATTTGCGAAGAACCAACCAAAAATATTACAGATTGTGAGAGGAATACATATATATTTTTTTTATCTCTGGTCAGTGAATTTCAACTAGAATGGTTAACAGTTGTATTGTAATAAATAAATAGTTGCAATAATAATGTTAAAACATCATTTGACTAGAAAGCATAATGATCGTGTAGTACAAAGAATGTTGATTTTAAATAAATGAGTAGACTAAGATCTTGGGAAGGGGTTTGGAAGGAGGGGGACAGGCTGATAAAAACTACTATACCTTTAAAAAAAATGAATGCTTCAAAAATATATACTAGCCACAAAAATGCAAAATATTATGGAGAACTCTGGAATTTGACTTCAGGCCATAATGTTAACTGTATATATACATTTTGTACATTTTTATTTCAATGATATCGTTTCATTGCAATGATTGTACCCTGCCAATATCAAGATTTTTTGATACCCCGGCATCTGCCAGAATCAACTGAATACAAAATGTGCTAGGTCACAGTATCATGAGTGCAAATTTTAAATACCAGTGCACTGTTCACCAGCAGTTTTCTGAGAAATTAATTGCTACAAAAACATGGAAAACGATTTTCCTGTTGTTGACTCATGTAAATGTTGCTCCACCCACAGTGGGGTTCTGCTGGCAAGATCTCTCAATGAGAACAGAGACGAAAAGTGACAGCAGTAAATTTACTATTCATAAATTAATAGCATAGCCAGTTTAATTGAAAACCAATTAATTAATAATATGAATCAAATTTTAAAATTACTAACAACACTTACGAGCCATATGATTTGCAGAGAAAACTCTGTTTTCGTGACTAATCATCAGCCTCCACTCACTACTGTCCTACGCATCGAAGAGTTAACTCAGCGTGTGTGCTTAACTGATTTCGTTTAGTCGCGCCGCCGCGGCATTTCGTATCCCAGGCCTAGACGTTTTGTTTACATGTTTATTGATTGGGTATAGACTTTTATAAATGGCTGCAAGTTAACAAAGAATTCCCAATTAGCGTGTATAATAGAAACCGATTCATAAGATTCAAAAATCAATCGTAGTTACTACACAGTCATTATCATTTTGATGGCGATGAGCCCGCTAGTTAGCCCAACTGTTGTCGTCATCCGGTCATGCACAGGCACTGCAATTAAATATCGAGTAGGCATGGTATTCCCACCAACTGTTGTTGTAATATTTCACCTAAATCAACACTGACCTCTTTACAACTTGCATCACATTTTGTCTCTGAATAATTCGTTCAAGTCACAGATTCTATAAACCATCTCAGCTGTATGTATAGGCCTATCTGTATCCTCCTTGATCTAACCCCATGCACCAACCTCTCAATTTCCTCTTATAACAGAGCAATGCAACTGTCAGTGTGTGCGAAATCAACCTCCACTGACCTTAGAAACATTGTTTATCCTATAGTAACGCCAGTGAGTGTGGAATGTTTGAGCGGACAATGGGGGGTTACAATAACTTCAATTACCACAGTAGGACGGATCAGTAGCGGGGACTTGATGACGGGAGGGGGAGGGGAAGGGAGGAAGGGGATGTGAATAAACAAGGCATCCCAGCTGATAAATATGAATCCCTAATTTATTTCTACTGAAGATGCCCCTTTTATATTGTAGCGGGGCCACGGCTGTCTCTTATACACATCTAGATGTGTATAAGAGACAGGATATAATATCTTTTCAAAATTCTTCAGTAGGCCTAAATTATAAAATACTGTAATATCAGACTAATTCAACTGACAGTTTGATTTTACCGTATTTATTCGAATAAACGCCCCGCTTCAAATAAACTCCCCCTCAAATAAACTCCCATTCTAAAGCCTCACATGCAATAAACGCCCCGAGCCGTTATTATTTTTTTTTTCGAATACAGCCTCCCCCACCCCCAGTGGCTGTAAACAAATGTAAAGGAAGCAACATAATTGTCAACACTTTCGATTAATGTTCTACTCTAGTTGGAGTGGAGTTGAATAGCTTCAAGATGCTTGCCTTCTGATCCCAGGGTCCTGGGTTCAATTCCTGTCACGGTAGGACTTTTTCTAAAACCATTCCCAAGCTTCATAAAGCATCATTCTCTTCCTGGAAGTGGCGAGTGTACTTGCTGTTTGATGTGAAGTAGTTACGATTAGTCTAACCAGGCTGGGATCAATACGTCTTTATGAATATGATGACGCAATAACATATTTTGACGGTAATTAGGCCTATGTGTTGTAGTTCCACGTTTACAATTTGAGTATTTTACACCAAAAAAAAATAATTAACGTCTACCTCGAATAAATTCCCCTCAAAAACCCTTCTCAACCAGGGGTGGCGCCAGGATTTTCCCGACGGGGTGACCGAGGTCCCCGACGGGGTGGGGGCCGATGCTCCCGACAAAGGGTCAGATTTCCTCGACGAAAGCAAAGTGGGCGTGGTCGAGCTTCGATTAAAATGTTTCGAAAGTGGTCCAGGGGGAGAAGCCCCCCGAAAATTTTGACTATTTAGGGGTTCCAAAGGCTTATGGGATTTTAGAGTCTACTAATATGTAGAAAATACATATAATCTTTTTTCCCTCCCCGACGAATTGTACTTTTTCTCCCCGATGGTGGGGATGGGGGAGCTCTCCCCGACGGGGGCCCTGGACCCCCGGCCCCCGCAGGCGCCAGCCCTGTTCTCAACAATAAACACTCCGTTTATCCGATCGAATAAATATGGCATATAATGGAGGAATAATTATCAATTGGTTTACATTCGTCCTAACCATTTCTTTTAAACTGACTTTGAGAATTAAGGAACATTCTTTTTTTAGCATTTTAAATGTAAGTTCCATTTAATGTATTTTAATGTTTTTTTTTTTTTCAAGTGGTTTAAATGTCTTGTCTTTTAATGTTTTGCTATTGAATGCACCTCAGAATTGAGGAGCCAGCGAAGTTTCAATAAAGTAGGCCTTGTTATAATTATCAGTTGCGTATAAGGAGAGAGGCAAGCCCAGCAGAAAAAAAACCCATTATTCTGAGCTGCATCCACATCCAACCACCAAGGCTCCTCCCACTGACAAAAGAAACTAAATTACTCATACACACGACACTGGTTAATTTATTTTATTGTGATTTTTCCATTAGATGCCTTATGCCAGGTCACAAGACTGTCACAAGCGTATTGGCATGTATTTCATTACTAGAATAGAATTTTTAACAAAAAAGTGACAAGTCTCCTCGGTCCCTGTGTATTGTCAAAATGCTATACAGATCTTTTATTGAAATCGATCACAATCTTTACAGGAAATTAAAATAGGCCTATATGTCATGTTCATTTTACCTCTAATAACTTGAAATTGGTTTCTGATATTGCAGGCTGGCATAGTGTAGAAGTGTTGAAAAATACATTTTACTATCAAGCATCGAAAATGTCACTACTCAATGGGAAACTGTTTAGCAAAAACACTTCTAAGCAGAAAATGCTGAACCAACTGTTTGGTGCGCTGATCTTGGGTGTGATCTCTCTTGGAATCTTTTGTTCCAGTATGCATCTGAGAACATACCCTCCAAAAATAAAGCAAAAAATCAAAATGCAGAAACCGTCACGAACGCATCTTCACAAATCGGCTCACATAACACAAAATAAATGGGGGAGTATAAACAGGTAAGGAACCAAACACTTGTTGATGAAAAAAATTTACAGTATCACATATATACAACACTATGATCCTTATAAAGACACGTTAGATAGCGTGAATTACAAGTGACACCATAAATTAAATATTTAATATCAGTATAATCTAATTGCTGCTTAGACAGTAGTGGATCCAGGAATTTCGGATAGAAGGGGACCAGGCATGGAGGGATTTGCACAGATTGAGGGTTTAAACCATGTCGGCCCCACCATGGTTGGGGCTGGGGTTAAGAAAATGATTAAATATAAAAAGCTTGAATATAATTTTCTTTTTTCCTCCATTTATTTTTAATTTGGAAAGAATTAAGGAGCCCGTCTTCTCTTGAATCCGCTACTGGCTACTATATGATTTTGAATTTGTTCTTTGCTCGATGGTTATTTAGGCTAAGCTCAATTAGAAGGTCTATGACCCAGTCATGGGCTCAATTCCCGCTCGTATCCATTTTAATGGACAGGTGTCAAGCTTAGCAAAAATAATACAACTAATGATTTTCCCAGACGCACTGATTAACATTATAATATTAATAGACTAAAACACTATACTAACGATAAACAATGTTGTAATCAATATTAGAAAAACAAACAAAATATAATACAAACTAACATTTTTACGAACATTACGGTGGGAATGGTAAAGTAATGATGCGCAAAAAATGTCATTTAGACCCACTCTAATCTGACTGACCGTTTATTTTCCACATGATTTTCATAAAACATTTAATTTTTTTTCAGTACAAAATTCTTAGACTACACTAAAAATAAGAGATGTTTCTTCCTCTGTGATACGTAAGTTATCCTGATAAAGTTACTTTTGTTTAAAGTTTAATCAATATCAATAAAGCAGACGATATTATACAAAAAGCAGATGGTATTATACAATTATAATTATTTTAAGGCAATAAATTTATTTATTATTTTGATGTATTTTCATAGGGAAGACAACAATAATTGTTTTGATGCCGAAGAAACGGTCCTAGTATATAAGAACGACGTGTGGCCAAGGAAAATGCGTTTTATGCAAGAGATTCGACCCCGGTTAAACCAACGAACATACCTAGAGGAAGAACAGTACGGCACACTTGATGGGGTCCACTGCAACATTAGCATTTACTATCCAGAACTAAGAACGTTACATCAGAGTAAAACATGTGCAATAGTCGGGGCAAGTGGGCAACTCATTAACAGTGGGTGTGGCCCACAAATTGATGCTCACGATTTTGTGATCAGGGCAAACCTTGCGCCTATTATGAACTACACAAAGGATGTAGGAAACAAAGTAAATTTAACAGGCATTAACTTTAATAAGTTGGAAACGATTTTCAAAAATCTTGTAGACAAGACATCAGACGACCCCGAGCATGTGGATATGGTGGAAAATATCCGATATTTGAATGACTCTGTGCTGTGGTTTACCAAAGCAACCACGGCTAGACATGCAGCAGAGAAGCTGAAAGTTATAGCATCAATTTTGAAGACGGGCTATAAATTGCCAATTCAAATGGCGTACATAATGCGATCGTCATCTGTTGAAAGGTAAGTCTGAGAAAGTGGGCGTGGTTTCATAGTGTCATGCGGGTCCATATGCTGGAAGAGATGGGGAAGGCCCATGGGGCACGTGCTAACACGGTTTTGACTGCCATGTATTTATATTCCAAAACATTGAACACGCCCCGGTGTCTCCGCTCAGGGATTTCGGCACCCAAATGAAATCGGCCAAATTTCCCGTATTCTGGTATGATGAGGGTGACGCAAGTTCAATATCTATACTAAATTCAAAAGAGTGAAAACAGTGTGAAAGTGCCTACGGGGCTCACTCTAATAAATTGAAATAGAATTACCGGTATCATAATTACTTTGATTTAAAGAATGTATTTTCAGTTTCATAATCGCACATCAAATCAAACATTTTAAATTTAGTGTGAGGGGGATGGATTCACGGGGGACAAAGTCCCTGTAACACACAATCTACCCCTTTACCAAGAATTTGCACATTCAAATTTCAATTTGGCTAACAGTGATTGCTATTGTGAATTGTCAATTGATGTTGTTAATATAGTTTAATAGAATTGTTACAAATTATTATGCATCAATTCGATCGTTTGAAACAAACTTCTAGATAGGCCTTACAATAGGCAATGGGTGACCATTCTTTTATAGATATACCAATAATACTGTCATGAAAATTCAACTTTGAAAACTGAAACAATAATGAAATCTTTCGTATTTTCAACTGAAAGTTACAACGGGAATAAAATCTTTGCAAATGTACAGACGTTGAAATAATAACATTTCTATATAGTCATCACATTTAGGCATAGACCCTTCCATTGGCTGCCAGCCAATTGAAAGGTTTTCGTAGTAAAATGTATGTGAATCATGGAACTGATTTTTGTCGATCTGTCTTTGTAACTTATGCGATTCCTTTAAAAGCAGTTAAAAGTTGTACTTAACTTTTTGGCATTTTCACTTGTCAAACTATGTCGCGTCTTAGGCCTGCTAGAAGATAGTTAACTTAGCAAATATTAATAACACCTGTCATACCTATTGATGTTAAATAAATCAAAAAAGACTGATTGACGATAATTTATCAGATATTAAAACACGGACCCAAACACTCTCTACGCTCTGAAAATATACATGGTAGTTTCCCTCTAATTAAAGACCCCTCCACCTTCAATTAAAGACCACTTTTCTGTGGTCCTATATTAACCAATGTCTATTATCTGTATTATTTTAATAGAGAGCAAAGCTGTTAAAAACTATGGAAACCCCGGTCTCAAAAAGTGTCTTTAATTGGAGGGTTAACTGCATTTGGTAATTTTACATCTTCTCCAGGCCTTCAAAAATTTTAGTACGAACTTAGCAGTATTATTATATGATCGTATGTTGGTGACGATATTAAACGAGAATAAAGTATATTCAAAACGGTTAATATGTGACTCATAAACGACACAGAAGGCCATCAAATGTTCCAATAGAGTACTATTTTTAACTTCACAACATTTTCATTGCAGACGATTTCATCTGAAGAAGGGTGTGTATGCAAGTACAGGAATGAACATTTTCGCGTTTGCCAGAACATTTTGCCAAAACATTACTCTGTACGGATTCTACCCGTTTGACGAAAACCATCACCGAACACCGATATGGAGACATTATTTCGAAAATGCAACGTTCAACTTTCAGAGTCAACAGCACGATATGGTCCATGAATTCACCAAGCTTTCTGCTATGCATTTACGAGGCGAGGTCACAATGGTAACAGACAAATGTTCAATGAATGAGAAAGATCAAACAAGGCATATTCACGTCCCTAAATCCTTCAACAAAACCCTGCTTGCAAGGGAACTTCAATTGACAGTCGGCAAAGAAGAAATGAAATCACTGATGGAAAAATATGTAAATTAGGGTATTTAGATATTAAGCAATTTGGTTGTAAAAAGCCATGAAATGTGTAGTGAATTTGAGTGTTTGTTCTTAGGTTTATACTTTATTATTTAGTTTAATAATCACATCCCTTTTGAGAGATAGTTCTGAATTATCTTTGAAGGATATCGTTTGATATACAAACTGCTTCAACACATACATATTTTGATAACTGCATAGTTCAGTCAGATATATAGTGGTATTCACGGTGTGTGCACTGAACCATGGAGACATTGGGTCCCTAGTTCAAATCTGTCACTGCTCTTTTAGTGTTTTATTTGGAGAGCTGAAATGAAGTAGAAGGTGCTATAGCTCATAGCTCCTTTTGAAAAAAAACCCTATTGATCCACAGTGGCGTATCTGGAAGGGAAGGGGAGGGGGTGGTGCACATTCCCCACTAAAAATTACTTCCCCCCCCCCACAGATTTCCCCACAAAAATCACAGTCAAATTGTTACAAAGTACATAAAATCACATTATTTTGCAAGTTAGCTCCCCTCAACTGATCATTGATCCCTTCACCTTCGCGCCCCTCCCCCATCAGCACACCCCACTTCAAGACTCCCAGATACGCCACTGTTGATCCAGTAGCAGAGTGCATCCGAGTATTAAAATGGGGATGGTTAAGGGGCATGAAGGGGAAGTGAGGAAGAGCTAGGTGAGGGCATAAGAGGATTTTTAACTGCTTGAATGTTTGCCTAGGGTGCTTATTTTTCAGGTGCCTTCATTGTCCTTAGACTCTTGTGCACATTAAACAAGTCTATATGTACTCTATATATATACTGGTATATAAAAATGAGAGTTGGGTGTTTAATGTTGTCTCCAAGTTAATCACAAAATGCACCACTGCGTAAAATATACGTGCATGATACTACTCAGCTGTAAGGTTAAGTGCAGTATTTATTTTAGTTTACGAACTACAAGACAAACATTTATACAATAAACTGGGACTAGTTTTTTTTTTTTACTCTTTATTCTAATGTCAGAAAATAAATTATACAAAACTGTTACAATATAAATATCTAGATAGATATCCATCTAGATAGATATGTAACAAGCATTTTAACATTCCAATTCACACAAGACAAAATTTTACAAAGGACGTGTGTGCTGGGGAAAATTTAGCAACATTCACTGCATCCATGTGAAAGCGGATCAGTGCAAGATTAGCATTGTCCTATGTAAGAATTTTTGTCATGTGTAACTCTTAAACGCTGTCCATACTATCAACTTTTATGCGACAAATAAATGTGATATGCCCATATTTGGGTGTAGTATGACATCATCATGTCCATATATGGGCACATCACACACATTTGTCACATCAAATTTGACAGTGTGGACAGAGCATTATTCAAGGTGTTCAAAATGATTTGCATAAAATTCACTCTATACTTCATCAAACACTATAGAAATTGTTTTATATATGTTTTTTTAATAACATTTTTTATACTTTGCTTACAGTAGATAGTTTTTAACGAGTTGTTTTAAATTTAGGGTCATAAACAATATTATCAATGAAATAATTTGCAATAAAAAATATTGGAAATTAACCATGTTTAAGTTTGACGAAGAAAATATAATATAGTTGTTAATTTCACCGATGGATAATGTACAAATAGCAATTCTAACACTTAATTATTGTTGAAGTTTACTATCTCCGCACACACACAGTAGATTTTAAAAGTATAATTTTTAGCAATGTATGTAGTACACAAAATTCTATCAGCCTTGTCTGAAGCAATGACCAGACTATCAAAAACATGTGACATGCCTTAATATGGTCATGATGACAACACATCATGACCATATATAGACACATCATACAGTAACTATATATGGGCATACAACAATTTTTTTTTTCAAAGTAAGTTTGAGTCTTGCCATCCCCAAAAAAGCCGACTGTCGCTAATTGTTAAATGATATGATTAGCATAAGAAAGTGGCAGTATCGTATACTTTAGTACAGAGAAGCTATAATACTTTACTCATAACTTTGGCAATAGTAAATTGATTTCAGTATTGTAATGACCCATCATTTCAAAACTTATAATTTGGAGAATAAGAATATATTAAAAAGTCAATTTTCATTTTTTGGTCACTTAAGGCCTGTTTATACTTCAACGATAACAATAACGATAAAAAAGCTACAGAGATTGTTCATTTAGAAAACAAAAGAAATAAGAGAAATTTTTACACTTGGACAATTCGATAACGATTTATCGTGTATATGATAAAATATTTTAACAAATCAAATCAGATGACGTCATAATCATGGAAAAATGATAAAATCGTTGCTACTACTACTGATTTGATTTGTCAAAATATGTTGTTATCGCATAACTGATAAATTATTATTGAATCGTTCTAGTGTTAAAACTTCTCTTATTTCTTTTATTTTCTATATGAGCAATTGCTTTTTAGCTATTTATTGTTATCGTTATCGTTGAAGTATAAACAGGGCTTTAAGCTACATTTACATTAGACTAGCCTAGACTACTTAGCATCGCGTCCTTTATATTCTTCAACACTGAGCACATCCTTATTGTGTAGCTGTCGTGTCGTTATCGTGTCTAGGTGTAAATGTAGTTTTATGCTGATTTTGGGATGGCAAGAGCTGGAAAGAGGTTTAAAAATGCTGAAATAAAGCTTGGTTTACACTACAATGCATCAGACACAAACGCAAGCGACTTGACGCAAATGTAGAATACAGCAATCCACGTCACATTCTCCCTCTTATAAATGTTAAGCTGTCGTGGCTCAAGAGTAAGCAAGCACAGTGGTTGTGGTATGAGCCAAATTTTTAGTGGTTCCCATTAAAGCTTACCTGTGTAGTAGCGGTGTTTGTTGTGTTGTCTCAATTTTCTAGTGTAAACAAAGCTTAAGAAATGATACACTTTATTGTCATGAACACAATCACTAGGAATTACTTACATGATTGAGTTGTTGTACAACAAAAATATAAAATGATAAACAAACACACATATCCTCTCTCCCAATATTCATTATTTAGACATTCAAACTTTGGCAGTTTATAAAAACCAAAACTGTGTGAATTTAAAAGAAAAAAAAAATACACAGAACAGAACATACACTGTCCCATTTGTCCCTCATCTCTGTCCCCTTATGCAAACTATTTACATATTTGGTTCATAAAACACTGCATAATACCTTACACACATTTACATATACACAGATATTAAAAATATATTGTCCACTAAAAAATTACAAAAATTTCGAAAAAAGAAATTCTGAAATTAACATTTTTATTGTGAAGTAAACAAAAAATTACCAACTAAAGAATAGAAATTAGTGTATTTAATAAATATTTACCCTGATTTTCACACCAGATAATGATAAAAAGTGTTTCTGTCATTTTTATCAATAGCCAAAAAAAATGTTTGAGAATAAATATTTTCTTAAATACACTAACTTATATGTTAAAGTTGATATTTTTTATGTTATTACCAAACAAAGTTATTCTATAGGTATTTCTATAGGTTTTTATAATTTTTAACGGGATAAAACATCTTTAAGGAAAAATTAAATATAGATTGTGTTTTAACAGAAAGGTTACAAATTACAACCCTTGTACCTGTCATCAGCTGTTAGTTGCTTTCGGTTTAGCTTTTTACAGTCAGCCCCTCAGGTGTGATGCTACGTGTAGTAGATTGAGACACAGATCTCGTTGTTACTCTAGTCACGTGTCCCGGAGTGGGCGCTCTTGGTTCTTCAATGATATCACATACACTGTATGGGGACTGTGATACTGAGTGTGGGACTGATGAGCCCGGTGGGGATTCTGGCGGTGATGGATAGGTTATAACCTTTGAATGTGCTGCAGATACAAAAAAAAAAATTTCCTTGAATAAAATCTGATGTTTCCTATTAAAGGCAACATTTGTTAACATTTGAAATTGTTAATAATTATTTGTGGCCGTGTTCTCTATCTAAAACTGCTATAACAGCAACAGCTCATTGTCTGGTGAAAATGTTTTTAACAATTAAAACTTTATTAGTGTTATTGTAATTATGATTATTATTATTATTATTATTATTTATAAGTGTCATTTAAAAATATTAAGTACAGTACAGAATTGTGGTATTCGTACTACTATGTTAAATATTTTTTGATGGAATCAACCAAGCAACAAAAAAAAAACAGTTTGATTTAGGTGTTTGTGCAAACATAATCAGTTGATCTAAGAATGCGTTCAGTAATGTGAATGTTTTTAGTATTAAATTTTAAAATAAATAATATTTATTTAATCAATCTGAACTCATGTGCCTTTGAAATGATAGATTGAAAGTTATAGTACTAATTACATAAGAAACACAACTTCCATTTAAATTTTAAAAAAACCACTTTGAATGTTTTTTTAAATCCTTTGTAGCCCACTAATGGGACATTTCGCATTAAAACCACAATGCAGATGAAGGAAGCAGTTTTTGTATTTTTTTATACATTTTGTAGAATGAATATCTACATATTTTAGAACACTTGTTAATTTTGTGTCAATAAAAGTTTGTTACCTTGGTTGGATTCTGTAGTTGTTGGCCTTTTAAGTTCATCTTCAATTTCTTCAGTAATAGCTTTTTGTCTCTCGGCATCAGATGGAACTTTAATCGGGGGAAGGGGTTGGACTGGAGATAAGCGGCTGTTGCTGATTCTGGTACTTGCATTAAATGTAGGAGTTGCAGGTGGTGTGACAGATTTTGGTTCAGGAATAGCTACTTTTTTTCGTTCACTAGATGCTGTCAGAAGAATATGTATATTATACTAGAAATTGCAAATTACAAGTGAAGTGCTGCGAAGTACAACTGCAAATAAATGTTCTTCGAACAAAATTATTCATGCGAGTCAAGTGAAAATAATGAATAATAAAAATATAACAAATAATATGAGACACGACCCATTGTCTATATTAGAACACTTCTCATTGGGTGACAAAGTCATAATTTTTCATTTTTGTCAAAAAGTTTCTATAGTGGTGAATTATGGTTTAGGTTTTTTAAAATAAAGTTTCAAAAATGTCTATGTATGTGGAAAATGTAGTTGATTACCAAAGGTTACAATTTTTATTTTGAAAATTGCATGGTCTAGGAAGTGTACATGTTTTTTATGGGGCAAGTTTCCAAGGGCGGGTTTTCTAGGGGCGAGTTGACTGCCAAAGAGTGTTGCCAAAGTGCGAGCCAGCGTGTTATTTGATCACAAGTGCGAGACATATCACAAGTGTGAGCCA